CACACACACACACACACACAACACGTATTATTTGCTCCAGCCTTTATGAATTAAGCATTCAGAACGACAAGCTGAAATTCCTTTTCAGAGGAACAAGTTAAAAAATACTACTTCAAATTTCATGTTTTGCTAATTGAAGGGACTCAAGATATATACGTGTGTACATTATTTCTTTCTCTTTTCTCCCCTCCTAGTCTCTCTTAACAGGGCTATCAGGTCCTCACAAGATCCAGGCATCCACTGTGGCAGCAAGTCCTCTGCTATCCAAACAGGGTTCTGGGAAAGTTAGTAGTCTGGCTGCCAGTGCTGCTCAAGCAAAGTCTCCTGGGAAGCCAGCTCCTGCTGATAGCACATCATCGAGTGACAGCTCTTCAAGCGATAGTGAAGGTGAGGAAACAGGTTGGCTATGAAGGAACTGTTGGTACAGAAGACTAAAAGGCAGTTTTTGGGAATTATCTGTGTAATCCTGAACGGTTAAATTCAGGAACTATCTATGTAGTCCCAACCCTCCACAGATTCATTTTCCAGAGGCAAATGGTCTCTTAAATCTCCCCTTTTTTTCAAATCCAAAGTTATACAGTTATTTCAACTGGGTGAAGATTTTCTGGTACATTTTCTGCTACATTTGTTTTTCTCCAAAGCTTAGTATATTTTGAAGGATTCTCTGAGATTTGTCCTGTGCAGAGAAATTGAATGGTTGAAAATGGTTGAAAATTTGTGATCTTATTATATAATGGGCTTGGTGATTCTTTCTAAATGAAGATAAATTTTCTGTAATTGGGTTGCCTGGATTATTATTATCATTATCATTATTATCATTGATGTATTATTTTTATTTATTTGTATCCCACCTTTATTATTTTCACAAATAATTCAAGGTGGTAAAAACATTCAACACACTTTCCTCTTCCTATTTTCCCCACAACAACAATGCTGTGAGATTAGTTGGGCTGAGAGAGAGAGTGATTGACCCAAAGTCACCCAGCTGGCTTTCCTGCATGGGGAGGCAGGTCTCACGGTCTCCTGTTTTCTAGCCTGCTGCCTTAACCACTAGACCAGGGGTAGGCAACCTTGGCTCTTTTATGACTCGTGGACTTCAATTCCCAGAATTCCTGAGCCAGCCATGCTGGCTCAGGAATTCTGGGAGTTGAAGTCCACGAGTCATAAAAGAGCCAAGGTTGCCTACCCCTGCACTAGACCAAACTGTCTGGTGGCTATGGAGCATCTGAGACTGGGGATGGTATAATTCTTAATGTAATGCAACATTTTTCAAATTGTTAGTCTAAATTTTAAGCCAAAATTCTGAGATAATAATAAAAATAAGGCTCTTTAATTATGTAGGAAAAAGTTGTCCTGATAAAATTTTGTTTTTCTTTTAATTGGACAGATTAGAATAGAAATACATCTAGCTAGGTGTAACTGTTAAAACACAGTTCTGTAAATTAGAAAGTATCTGTCTTTCCTAAAAGTTAATTAGGCGAAGCCTTTTCCCAGGTTTTCTTCCAAATGTGTCACATCTGCAACTTCTGGAATTCCCAGGTGGCCTTAACAAGTGCTTTAGATTGTTTTCCTTCAACAGAGCCTAGAGTAGTGTTTCTCAACCTTGGCTCTTTTATGACTTGTGGACTTCAATACCCAGAATTCCTGAACCAGCCATGCTGACTCAGGAATTCTGGGAGTTGAAGTGCACAAAGTCTACACATCTTAAAGCTGCGAAGGATGAGAAATACTGTCCTAAAAAAATATTCAGTTGTTCAATACTGAACTTTTATTGCTGAACTTATTTAATACAGTGTTGAGCTTAGATAAGATAACCTTTATTGTCATTTTTTTACTGTGGGCACAACGGCACACATCAGAAATGAAATTTAGTTGCCCGCTCTCAAAGTGAAACACATACATGACACATACCTAAACATACTATGAACAACGTATGTATAGACCCACACCCCTACATATACGTAGCAAATAAATATTAAATACTGTCCATCTTGTCATCTTGATGGTGTTGTATGAGGCAACTGGCTGTCCAGATGGTGTTATAATTACATTTCTGATAGTCCAGATCAATGTGACAAGGTTCCAAGTTGCATAACATTGAGATACAAAAGATATCTCATACCTGCACTAAAATGTCTAAGACACGTGTGGGCAACTTCCAGTCAATAAATATAGTTTATTTCCTTTCTTCAATTTGGGGGTTTGGCTTTGAGGTGATGAAGGAGTTAGGGGTGTGATGAGGTGGGGTTAAATTTGGGACCATTGAGAAGTGTTTAGAATAATGTTTTCCTACTCAAAATGACTATTAACCCACTAAAGATCTAATGCATCTGTTTTGAGTCTCTGTTGTTTTTCTTTAATGCCTAGTGCTCAAAATCACCAATTTGCCACCAAGTATTGGTGCAGCCATTTATGGCCAAGGAAGATCTGGAAAAATTAATCCAGGGGAGCTATATTCCTCCATAGGGCACAGGCTATCCATCCCTGATCTAATTCTATGATGGGTATCCTAAATGAAGGTGTAGGGTGGCTCATGTAGTCCAAATTCATTTGGCCATCTTTAAATGGCTCATCGCAATCCTAGTATCTAAAATGAGAATTTTGATTCTGCTGACCCTATCACCAGGTTCATTCATGTCTGAAGGAAAAGAAAAAAATCTGCCCTTCAGTCAAATGATTAAAATAAGGGCCTCCCTCACTGGGAGACTTTAGTTTCCATCTACTGGATACCTTCAAAATGTGCCAAACTATTTTTCTACTGTGTTCTCAAAGAAGGCCTGAAGAGAATAAAGTTTTGCAGATTAGTCCCAGGAATGCTTGCAGATAGAATAGTTACCATATTTATATGTCAGATTCCCCTTTCCTTTGCTGCCTGCTTAAATTATTCCCTAGCTTGTAAATGGAGGTGGCTGAGAAAGCTTGACCAAAACCAAAACCAAAAAAGGCCCACAATCCAAAGATCTAGACTGTGCAAAAAGAGGAAGATCAATGGGTTGCCCAAAAGTGTTGTTGAAATGGGTCCCTTTTTGGTTTTCTAGCAGCACTGGGGAAGCATGTTAATGCTGAGCTGAATTCTTCCTGTTTCTGGGACCATTTGACTTATCAACAATAAAGAGTCTTTTGACAGCTTAAAAGCTAATCATCAAAAGGCTAACCGTTTGGAACATGAAGCTTAACTGATACTTTTACATGGGGCATATTTGAACTTGTGCATAGGTGCGCTACAGAAATCTTCTCCTTAAGATAACATTGACTTGATTCCCTCTTAAAAAAAAATTAAAATTAAAATCCGATCCCGTACTTCCCAGCCGTTAGCCAAGTTGCCTGGTAATTTTAAGACAAACATATCTGGAAAGCGTTAAGTGGGGAAATGGCATTTAAAATAATTGTACAACCAGAAGACAGACTCCTGTAGCTGAGAATTTCCTGGAGCAAGAAGAAATGGGAATGTAGCCATGACTGAGTAAACCCTTGGATTGTAGCATGCTCAGTCAGCAGCTACGAAGCAGCCGAGCACGGGGAAGCTTTTATAGCTTATGAACACAGGCCATTTCTTTAAATATCATTTATTCATAGTAATTCATATATTTTGATGCTAAGTTGGAATAATGTACCCACAAATTGGCAGTGCTAGTCTACAAGGATCGGGTTCTTAATAGTGGCTTAATTGTAAAAAAATAATTCTTTTCTACAGAGATCACCTCGTTGCCTTCTTCTGGAAAGGACGCAGCGGCTGCTAAGGGAAAGGGGCCAGGGAAACGAGGACTGGAGAGCACCGGCTCCAAGCCGCTCCCGGCAAAGAAAGCTGCCGCAAAAGCTCAGAGCAATGGCCAAGCCCAAGAGACATCTGCGGCACCCTTGCCAGAATCACTTGCTCCATCGTTCAAAGCTCTCCCTGGGAACAAGGAACAAGGAACCCAAAAAGGTGCCCGGGCTAACCCTGTGGCAAAGGCCAAGACATCCAAAACTGGAAAGAAAGAGAAGCCATCCAAGAAACGGAAACTGGCCGATGGGGACACTGGCCCTGGGGTTTCAAAGAGCAAGAAGCTTAAAATGCAGAGCGAGGAAGAGATGCCAGTAAAGAAGAAGAAGAAGAAGAAGAAATCCAAGTCTTCAGACAGCATCAAATCAACAAAGAAAAAAGACAGCAAAGAAAAGAAGTCTGATAAAAGTGAGACCCCCATCCCTACTCCAACAAAGCTGGGTGATAATTAATGTTCCTGGCCCTTTTTTTTTTTCCTTTCAATTATTTAGTGCGTTCTGCTGCCCCCGTGTGGTAAAGAGGTATTGCTTACCAATAAGCAGTTGTTACCAATTCATTTGTGTTGGTAAAGGGCAGGGGTCTTCCAACTTGGCCCTTTTATGACTTGTGGACTTCAACTCCCAGAATTCCTCAGCCAAGTCCACAAGTCATAAAAGGGCCAGGTTTGAAGACCCCTGGTAAAGGGAGTAGTTGGGAAAGGTTTATTCAGTATATGCAACCAGTGGTGGGATTCAGCCAATTCGCACCACTTTGGCAGAACCGGTAGCTAATTTTTTGTTGCCCAAGCCAAGAATGGACTTCCGGAAGCGGCATCCACACAGAGAACCGGTTGTTCACATATTTGAATCCCACCACTATATGCAACCCTAGCACTCTGATGTCCCCACCTTATACTTGTGGAAAGAAGCTATCCTAACATGCCTCTTGGTTGCAATCCAAAGAAAAACAATTAAGTGAAAAGGATAGGCAAGAAGGCTTTTCAGAAGGTATATTTAGGTCTGTTTTTTAACATTCTTCTGCTTCCTGTTGTTTTTTTTTCCTAGCCACTTCCTTCCTCATTGTATGGGCTTACTCTGCTTTAACTACTTCCCCTTTTCTATGATGCCCTCAGTCCTTTTTTGAGCCCCAGGATCTGAACTGATTGCAAATTATCTGATCCCACCTTGATCCTCAGGGTCATCTTCCTTTTTGTTCTGTCCAGGATTGGTCCAGAACATTTGGATGTACCACTTAATAGTTTTCCTTAAAGTGTGATGTTACATTGACCTACTTTGTGATTGCTCTGTAATGTCCCTTATTTTTTATCATAGGCACTTTTGTGTGAACACATGCCTTCACGGCAATTCAAGTAGTTGGCCTAGTGTCTGCAGTGTTCTTGGCAAAGTGTCCCAGAAGTGGTGTGCCATTGCCTGCTTCTTGGGACTGAGAGAAAGTGACTGGCCTAAGGTCACCCAGCTGGCTTTGTGCCTAAAACAGAACTAGAACTCTCCTGTTTTCTATCCTGGTGCCTTAACCCTATACCAGTGATGGGAAACCTTTTAGAGACCGAGTGCCCAAACTGCAACCCAAAACCCACTTATTTATCGTCGAGTGCCGGCTGGGTGTGGCCCATTGGGTGGGCGTGGCTGTGGTGGTAACAGCAGACTGGGTGGGACTAAAAAGTTCAATCAATCAATTCCAACTTAGCATAGAAACTATTTATTTATTATTGTGGTTTTTAGTATCGCCTGTTCACCGCCCTGAGTCCCGTAAGGGAGATAGGGCGGTATATAAATTTAATAAATAAAATAAAATAAAATAAGATATTTCCCCCCCCCCCCCGCAAGAAGTTGAAATTGACTGATTGATTGAACCTTTTTTTTTTTTTGCACATGGTGGTGGAGGCCTAAAGAGAAAAGGTTTTATAAAACCCAGCTGAAGGCCTAGGACTGGGGCGACAGCGCGCGTGCCCACAGACAGGGCTCTGAGTGCAGCCTCTGGCACCCGTGCCATAGGTTCGCCACCACTGCCCTATACCAAACTGGCTCTCCTATTTTAGAGCTGATTTTTTTAAATAGAAGGACAGAGTTTAAATCAACACAGAACTAAAGTTAAAAATAAGCTTAACCAGCTGCTTTACTTTATCCCCATATGAATTAGCCCACCAGATTAGTTTTCCTCTGGCACCATCCCAAACAAGCAGTCCTTTGGTTTTGGATTTGTTCAAAACCCCTGAATAAAACGTCCCTCAGTGTTCCCAGCTGGAGCAGTGCTTTCGGTAGAACGCTTCTACTTTATGAAGTGGAGTTATAGCCTTTTCCCTGTATTTCAGAAGAAAAGCACATGCTGGCCTGGGTGCAAAATACTACCCTCCTGTGTTTAACCTGTTTTGGATATATGATTACCAATGATTTCTTTCCGATTTTCTGGCTAGAACAGATGGAGGAGGCGGAAGAGCCCAGCTAGGATATGTCTTAGGAAATGGCTTCCCTTTGCTGCATGGCTTTAAACGTGAAATGGAGGCAGCTTTCCCACTCAGGCATATGCTGACAGCTTTCACAGATAGAGCAGAAAAGGATGCTTCAGATACAAAGGCTGCTAAATGGTCATATTCAGCGGTAGCTGAATAAATCATGAATATCATTGTAGATGAGTCAGTCTTAAGAAGGCTTCATTTGGAGAGCTGCTACCAACACTAAGAGAGAGGGAGCTGCTGGAGCACCATTAATCTTGCTATTCAAAGAGCAGCTCTGCCGTTCCTGCTGAGACATTAGAGTTTCCTGCTGAATTCCCAAACAGAAATGGTCACAGGCCTCCTCTAGCAATTGGAGAACAAGAAGGAAAGAGGCTCTTGTGTGGAGACTTCAATTTTGCTGATCTTATCCTCTCTATTGAGGGAGGAAGGAAAAAAAATCTCCACGCTCTGCTTCGCTTGACTAATGTGCACAAGAATAGACTATAATGCTTTAGAAATGTACATGTAAAAAAAGGGGGTAGAACCTATTTATCGTGTACAAAAATCACCCAGCTATTCTATTCTATGTACATGTTGTCCTCTTAGATTTTCTGGTTTTTATCCTATTTTTGCCAGGGTCTCCTGTGAATCTGAGTAAACAGATAGAATATATTTATATAGATATAATCATATAAAAAGACCGAATGCAGAAGTAGCACTGACGTTTGGTGCTTGTTTCATTTACTGTACTTCAGAAACAAAGTGACCCAACATGCAAATAATTGCTATCTTAGATTCAGCAACTGTTTTTGTAACTGGCAATGTGTCTCTAACAGTTTTGTGCGAGAATTCTGGCTTATTTCTCCACGGCATATTGCTCATTCCATAATCCTGCATACACAACATTTCCGTGGGGTTTAGATCTGGACTTTGGCTTGACCATTCCAAAATATTGAATTTATCCTCCTCCTTCCATTATATTGTAAACTTCCTTATAAGTTTGTACCTTTGGGATCATTGCTTTGATTTGTGAATTTCAGCTTCAACTAATAGAATAGTTAGGTGATATTATCCGGTAAAATTCATACATCCTTCAATGATGGCAAATCATCCAGGTCCTGAAACAAAAAAACACCTGCCAACACATGACATTGTCATCTCCATATTTAATAGTTGGTATGAGGTTCTTATTCTGGAAAACGATATTTGGTTTCCTATGTACCCATTTTTGCTTCATCTGTTGATAGAACATTTCTGTGGAAGACAAAGTATATTTTGGCTAATTTGAGGTGACCCATCATTGTTCTTTCTCAGCAGTGGCTTTGACTTGTTATTCTCCAGTTAATCCCATTTTTACCAGTGTTTTTTTGATGGAGTCATCAACAGGGATCTGGAAAATCATACAGGTTCTTTTGCAATTCTTTGTGACTCCCTGGATGAATTTATGCTGCACTGTTGTGATGTCAACAAGGTAACTCATCTTGGGAAAATTCACTATTGTCCCAGATCTCCAATTCAAGATTAAGTCTCTGGAGAAGCCTTAATGGATTTGTAACTGTTCTCAGATTGATAGGTTTTGACTTTTTTTTTTTTTAATGGAAGTCTTCAGAAATTTCTTTTGAGTAGGGCACGACATGCCCCTAAAATCTGTGTAGTAAGAATACCAGAGTGTCATAGTTCGTGATTTATATTGGGCAGGGCTATCTCAAATTAATCTTGATTGTGTAATGATGCACTCATACAACTGACCAAGTTGCTTTGAGTTGTTTTTACTGGGAATGAGGAATTACTTTTTCACATTGGAAAATGTTGGATGCTTGTTTATGAAACAAATGGAACAAATATGATACCACTCTTTGCTGTTATGCATTCACTCAGACTATATATCAGTAGGAAACATTCAGTGATGAAGGTATGCAAATCTCTTAGAGGGAACATTTTTTTTCAACTCTGTGTTACAGTTCAATATAGCTTATATACTTAATATTTTTGCCCTCTCATTTGAACTGTTTTTGCCATAAGTTTCTAATTGAAAGCAGACTGAGCCACAAGTTTTGTTGTAGTTGTCTACCCACTAAGATAACAGAGAGATGGTATATTTCATATTTCAAGTACATTCTGTATGTATACTTAATTGCATTGCTGACTGTCACATTGGCTAGCAATGGAAGGCAGCCATGCTCAACAAAATTATGCCTATCCTGGTAGATTCTTCCTACCTGTTGATAAAGTTGCTTGCTTTTTCTGTTGGAAGTTGTCTTGAAACCATAGAGATGAATACTGTTTTTCCACAGCATGTCTTACTGTCCTCAGTTGACATGGTGCAAACTTGTTAGTCAACAGATCTGAAGTTGGGGAAAGCTCCTTTAGATCTAACTCGTCCACAGCTCTCATTTGGGACCCACGTTCTTAAGCAAATATCGCTCATGGGGGGGGAATGTCTTCTAGACGAGCTCTCATTTTTAGAAATCCCCAAACTAGATGTATCTCTATGCTTAATTTTGACCTGTATTTGATCAGGGCTTTTAGGATATGGTTCTTATACTTAAAATGCTGTTGTTAAATTGTACGAAACCTCCAAGATGTATAAGTCTGGCAAACCTTCCTCTGCTAGCTACTGCGACTAAGTAGTACCCCTGGTGGCTCCTAATTTGAAAGGCTAATTACAAGTTCCACACTCAGTTTCTCCTCTACTCTTTTGTGGTCCTTTGTCCAAACTAACATTACTGTGTCTTTCAAGGAGATTCTAGTCTAAATCAGGAGTATTGGTCTCTCCTGTCAATGAATTCTCTGAAAATCTCACAGATTTTCTATCTATAGAAGTGGGAACCTAAACATGAGTCAACAATGTTCTTTTTCTCTCCAGAGTCCTAACCTAGCACTATCTCTATCATTCTATTTTTATTTTTGGAGGCTTCCACCTTTCATTGCCTGTATCATGATTTATAAAATCTCTCTCCATCACTCAGGGGGGGAGGGGGGGAGTTTATTGTACAGCAGTCATAGCAACCTGCCTTTGACCATGCTGGCAAGGACTTTAGGGAACTAGGTTCAACGTATTCAGAGGGTGACAGTTTAAGAAAGGGTGGATTAGGATTTTTTATTCAGGATTTTTAAAGTAACAGCCATACTGTCTCTTCCATTATTTGAAGTCACTCTAGAATGAGTGTATAATATATACTGAACTCAACTGCAAATAAATTGCCAAATTAGACTTTAGATGGTGAAAATATTAAATTATCAGAGGAGCACCATCTTATTTCCATTAATGGAGCAATCTCTGTAGTTATTACCTTAAAACTAGGAAAAGAGCCAGGGAGCTGCAAATGGTAAGCTGGTGAATGCTCTGCATTAGTCTTAATTTATGTGTCCAGATAGTGAAGCAGATTTGGTTTCACCCTGGCTATGCATAATAATGGTGATGATGATGGAAGGGACCTTGGAGGTCATCTAGTCCAACTCCCTGCTCAGGCAGGAAACCCTATACCATTTCAGACAAATGGCTGTCCAGTCTCTTCTTAAAAACTTCCAGCGTTGGAGCATTCACAGCTTCTGGAGGCAGGTTGTTCCACTGGTTAATTGTTCTGTCAGGAAGTTTCTCCTTAGTTCTAGGTTGCTTCTCTTTTTGGTTAGTTTCCATCCGTTGCTTCTTGTCCTGCCTTCAGGTGCTTTGGAGAATAGCTTGACCACATGGTGTTGTGTTTGGGTTTTAAACAACTCTCTTAGTCAAATTCAGAGTTGAACAAATGGTGTAGATTATTGTTGGGTTTTTCTGTGTGCTGCCATGTATGTGAAGCTTGAACACTGACATGGCACAAGCCAACCTTAAGAGTTATCTTTGTATCCATGAAACACCTGGGAATTAGCCTCCTAGGAATTCATAGAAAACAACATGGCTGCAGCCAAATTTACAAATGTGCCCATCTGTTTAGGAAAAAAAAGGAAGGGAGGATGGTGGTAATAGCATCCTAATGTCAAAAGGGACCGATAAGGAGCATTATCACCAATTAGCCTTCTGGTAAATGGCTATTTTATAACCCCGATTCCCCAGAGCAGCGGTTCTTCTGGTATTATCCCAGTCTTGCTCTCAACATTCCAGATATGCTTGAATAAAGTTTGCAGTGTGAGGAGCATAAAAACTGTTTTATTCCCCCCCCCATCCCTCCCCAGTGCTTGTCCCTGTCAGCAAGCAATCACTAAAAGTTCTTGTGGGCTGTCTTCAGTTGCTTAATCCTGTCAAATTTTCTTGCCATTCCTTATTCTACCCCTTATTTTGTTATCCTAGTTAGCGAGAAAATAAATACCTGAGACCTCATGCCTGGATTAAATCAGCAACAACATAGTGAAACCTCATTTGAATGGTCCATCTGAGGAGAAGGTTTTGAAGTACATTACTGAGGCAGTTTATAGGCAAATGGTATAAATTGCTCTGTAATGATTAAATGAAGGAAAATTAATTTAACCGCCTCATCTGGAATATTCATTTGCAGTGCATTTATCCCTTATTGGAAGGGGGGGGGGAAATCTCTGAATGCCAAGTAGTTCCATTGCTCTTGAAGTCTGCTAAATGCAGGTCTATTCAAATCAAGATATCTTTGCATATAATATTAGCAAAAAAAAAATCCAAATGCAGTAAATAGGAGATTCTGGTGGAAATCTGAATCTCTGCAGAAAAACAACTGACAGTCCTAGATTTTTCTAGCACAGCCTCAGCACTAATTCATAATATGCAGGTTCTTAACATGTTGTAGCTATCATTTCCTTAAATGGCTTTGGAATCCAAGAAATAAAGTATCTTGGGGGATTTGGTACAACTTGGTCCTGCACTTAAAATCATTCAAAACTGGGAATGTGCTTTTATGTGGCCCCCAGAATGTTTTTTGAAAGACATAATCTGAATTGTTTACCCTGTACTGTTAAATGTCTTACAGAGAAAAAGAAGAGAAAAAATGTGGAGAGACCTGATGCAGATGGGTCACAGAAGAAAAAGAAGAAAAAGAAGGTAGGAAAAAATACTCTTGTTTTAAATTGTTTTGTGTGGTGTATGTGTCTGATACAAATTAAACTTGTCTGGTGTTTAAATTAAGTTGGGTAATTTCATGATCCTTAATTGTCAGCCGATACAGGATTGAGCAGAAGGAAAATCACCCCACCATTACCTGGTTTAGTTACAGTCCTGAGCAGGTACATATTGAATAGATCAGTAGACTTTGAGTAATTGTTGTCACCATTCTGTATTAATCAACTCAGAGACATATATTTAGTTCACTGTGTATATACAGCTACCTCTAGACTCATGACATTTTTTTTTATGTTCCAAAAATGTTTTCAAAGCAGAGGTGCACAATTTGACGCACACATATGGCCCCCAGAAAACTCCCTTGTTATTAATGTGATGGAAGAGGAAAGTTATTAAATGGAAGAGTGTACAAAAACAGTGCTTCTGGAAGACTTCCTTAGGGAAGAAATACTTTAGCCTAGATAGTGGATTGGGTAATATATCAAAGGTGGGATATAGAAAAACATCCCTCATTTGGAAATGCAAACAATTGCATAAATGACTCTCCTAATATAATCTAAAAGGCTTACTTCTTCCAGAGTTAAGGATTGGGAGGGATTAAGCCAAATCAGAAAGGAAGTAATAGATTTTGTTGTTGTTTTTGTTATTTTAGAGCTCAAGAATTCTTTAATATGAAACATTCCATCTGTTCTCTTGCACGCAAGTTGAATAGGGCAAATTACTCTTGTTCAGCTTGTTTTGCTTAGCTTTTATCTACTCTCCAGAACCTTCAGAATGTATTTACTCAAAGATAGTCTACTCTTTCCCCAGAAATGTATCTTTCTTCAACACAAATGAAAGCCAAACTCTGCTTTTGAAACTCAGTTCTTTTCCATTGAAGAATTGAGAAGACTCTGGGTGTTCTCCCCCCCCCCAGCACAGTCTGTATTTCTTAGCACATTATTATCTCTCTGTATTATGTGTGAAAAGAACAAATTGAAATCATTTGCTTTGTGATTCTTTCAGAAAACGGATAACCTTCAAAAAGAGGCATGAACATGTAAGTATGCTGAGCCACCCCTGCAAAGTATATGTTAGATGAGTACTCCTTAATCTATTGCCCTTCAGATGATAACTGCCATCATCCTTGATTCTTTCCTGTGCTGAGTCGGAACAAGAGGAGCTGTAGGTATGTCAAAAGGTTATCAGACTAGAAAAGGCAGTTAGGTGAAACTGGGTTCAAAGTGGGTGAATGGGAAAGAAATAGTTTTTCTTCCAGAATTTAACAATGATTTCCACTAGTTTGCCAGCAGCGCTTGGAAGAAAAACATTAGAAATTGAAGTCTTGCACAATAATTTTTCAAGTTGTAATAAACTCAGGAAATCAGATAACAGAATAACAGAGTTGGAAGGGACTTTGGAGGTCTTCTAGTCCAGTCCTCTGCTCAGGCATGAAACCCTATACCATTTCAGACAAGTGGTTGTCCAATCTCTTCTTAAAAATTTCCAGTGTTGGAGCACTTCTGGAGGCAGGTTGTTCCACTGATTAATTGTTCTAACTGTCAGGAAGTTTCTCCTTAGTTCTAGGTTGCTTCTCTCTTTGGTTAGTTTCCATCCGTTGCTTCTTGTCCTGCCTTCAGGTGCTTTGGAAACTAGCTTGACTCCCTCTTCCTTGTGGCAGCCCCTGAGATATTGGAACATTGATATCATTTCACCCCTAGTCCTTGTGAGAGGTGGGAATGTATTTAATATGCGGTGGAAGGGCTAAGGAGCAAAGATAAAAAGTAAAATTGGGATCAGGATTTTCATTTTGTTCTAAATTTGTTTGAAATGAGTCAACCTATTGTAGAGCCTACACAAATTTATTATTTATTTATTATTTAGATTTATATGTTTTCTGTTGTTTCCCACCTCTAAATGTCAAGGAATTGCATAACTAAAATTTGTCACAATCAAGGGGGTTTCTGGGAGAGAAACAAAGAAATTGGGAGCCATGCGTATCCTGGAGGTATATCTTCAAAATTAAGCAAGGGAAATCATTTGATGGGAAATCATTAAATCATTACAGTAATAGGGAGTCACTCTGGCTCAGGGTTGTATTGTGGAGTCCTTGCTATTCTTTGGGCTTGGTTGTTTGCTTCCAGACATTTCATTATCCAAGTAGGTAACATCAGTGCCAGTGAATGTGGAGTTTGGTCCCTATTAATATAGAGCACCTTACGCTGCCGGTTTTGGTGAGGGTGTGGTTTTCTCCTTGGTAGTTCCTTAATTAGGGTATTGTTTCCTGCTTGATTGTTTACCTGGTGTTAATCCCTGCTTATCTGAATAGTGGCTGCTGTGGAGAGGATGTGTTCTGATAGTTTTATATCTTTCTTAGATTTTTTATTGTCTCCATTAAATGGTGTGTAAATACAGTTTATTTCCATTGATGGTTGATTTGTCTGAATTGCCAGGCTTCCAGGAATTCTCTAGCATTTCTTGACTTGACTTGACTTGACTTGGTCTAGAATGCTCTCAGTTTCCCAGTTGAAACTATGGTTGAGTCTGTCCAGGTGTTGTGAAATTAAGGGAGTTTCTGTCCAGGTGTTGTGAAATTAAGGGAGTTTTCATTGTGTTCATGAAGGCGCTCTGCTAATCTCCTGCCTGTCTGCCCTACAAAGTGACTGTTGTATTTAAGATATTTTGGAGGGCTTTAGCCGGTTTGCGTTGGCCAGGCTGGGCAGTCATCCAGGCTAGGAAGGCAATGGCTAACTTTCTTATTCATTCCCCAAAGAATAGCGTGTACACATGTATATGAAAGCACCTTGAGTCAAAATTGATTGAAAGGAAAAGAAAGCAACGGCAAATTACTCCTGTGATGCTGTCAGAAAATCTGCATGTTTGTAATTATTGGAGTTGAGCTGAAATTGATCTCAGTTTTACTTTATCTATATTAGTTATTATGTTTACTGATTTATGGTTGTAATGTAGTGGGGTTTTAATTAATTTAACCAATGTCTTAGCATCATAGACATCGTGTTTACATTAGATAAATTGCATCTCTTCTCCGTCTGATGACCTCCAGGTATTTTTGACTTCTAATGTCCCATAATGCTTATCCATCGTAGCCTATTAGAGCTTTGGTCCCATATTTGGAGGGCATTGGGCTGCTGTAAGTTGCATTACTGAAATTCTCTGTACTCAGATCACCATAGTTTTGAACTTGAGAACCTACTGATTTCATCAAGTTCTACCTCTGCTACTTTTAGCTTTTCTTTCAAGATTTTCTGGTACCTTCCATTTTAGGTAACTTCAATCAGAGATGGAAAAAGAGAAGTCGTCTTTTCTGGATTTGCTGAATATCCAAATCTATTTGAAACTCTTCTTTTAACCACCTTACTTTTGAGAAGACCTGACAAACTTTCTTCTTTCAGCCCAACATGATTGCCAAATTCTAAAGTAGAGCAGTTAAAGGTTAACAGCTAAAAAAAAGTATGGGAATCCCACTTAGGTTCTCCCACTTCTCCACCACAGTGCTTTTCCTAATTTTGTCTTTTGTCTCCTCTCTGCAGTGGCCTTGTAATTCAACGTGAAGAATGGTAGTACATTCATCAGAAAGGAATTATTCATTTATATTTTTTAAACAACAAAACCAAATGTCAGAGATTGAATTTAACTTATAACTATTTTTACTGATGACTTTTAAAGCTAAGAAACTGTGCTTCAAATGACCTGGATATGGGCTTGGTAGAAGGATACAACTTGTACCACTGAGCAAAGTGATCTGGATGTCTGAAGAGATCACAGAAGAGGCATGTGCAGAGACAAAAAAGTTCGTTTTGTTTACTGAGGAATTTTTAAATTGCTGTTTCTCCTTCCTTTCTTCCCTTTCCTTGACACTTAAGAGTTATATTTTTAAAGTAACACCTCATCCCTTCCCTCCTGCTAATTTTTTTTAAAATCAACTTTTTATTTTCATTTTTAGGAAGGGACATCCTTTTTCTCTCTTTATGTCCAGCATGTACAAAATTGTGTTGTCTCTGGATTGGCTTTCTGTCTCATCCTTCCTCTTTTTATTAATAAAAGAAAAAAGATTTTGACTGGAAAAAGCAGATTTGTGTGTGTAAAACCTAAAAAAGAGTACAGTCTTTCCACCACACCTGCACATTGCTGATGATTTGGCAAGCCTCTGTGAACTCATACTGAATATGCTCATGCATTTATGTTTGCCTCTTTAATTTTGAGACAGTCAGGTTCCCAGGCCTCAAATTTTCATAGGAAAGTTTATGGAATCTCACTCTGTATTCCTCTGATTGGTTAATATTTGATGGGACTAAGAATTGTTTTTGTATTCCTGAAGTTGAAACTCAAGTACTTTGGCCACCTAATGAGAAGGAAGGACTCATTGGAGAAGAGCCTAATGCTGGGAAAGATTGAGGGCAATAGACGAAGGGGACGACAGAAAATGAGGTGGCTGGATGGAGTCACTGAAGCAGTAGGTGTGAGCTTAAATGGACTCCAGAAGATGGTAGAGGACAGGAAGGCCTGGAGGAACGTTGTCCATGGGGTCGCAATGGGTCGGACACGACTTCGCAACTAACAACAACATGGAAATGGTTCTTAGTCATCCAATCACCTCCGGAGTGCCTCTCCCGCTCTACCTTCATATAGATTTCCAACCTCATACTTTCTACAAGTGTCTTAAAAATGTTTGAAGAGTGGAATACTGGAAGCAAAGTGGTATCTATTCAAAAGCAGCCAGGTTATGAATGAAGAACATCTACATTCTGCATGAGAAGCAACTAGATTCTATAAAGGAATGCCTGTGTGGTTTTTTTCATACCCAACTCTTCTTTTTTTTCAATCCTGTCCTGTACTAGGAGTGATGCTTGACGGCATTGTAGCAATTTTGGTAGGAAATTCCAACTTGACTGTTCCAGGTAAAGGAGGCTACTCCTTTGCAGACTAACCAAGAAACTCACTGAAATATTAAGGTTCTTCCTGCCCCATTAGATCATGACAACACAGAACTTTGTGATGTTGGGGAAGTTATAATTATCAGACCTTGAAAACAGTTTCTATTATTTTGGATTCCTTTAACGTTTAGAGACAAAAGATGTAAAGAAGAAGCATTCTACGTGCTTCTTCTATGCATGTCTCAGCTGACTTCATTATATTGTCCTGAAGGAGGGAAACCCGAGAGAAAGACAATTAATTAATGTTTCTGTCAAAAAGGTACTTGTGTCATTCTAGGAAAGAAAAAAACTTGTAGTAAATAAACCTTTCCTGGAAGAGCTGGAGAATTACAGACAGGTCTCAGATGTAGGGTTTTTGCATACAGTGATTTAGAAAGGGATGACACAACTAAAGATCCACATAGATCTCCTTTTTAAAAAAAAAATTGTGAAGTAGGATTGAAAATGTCTTGATTTATCACCTTGCCAGGACTCGAATTAGAGAATGGAAGTTATTTCAGTTCCTTTCAGTCCTATATGGGGAGTCTATTCTGCAATGATTCTGGTTCTTTCTGTTGGGTTATATCAGACATGTGAAACACAAGGTCCGAGGGCCGGATGCGGCCCACGAAGTGGTTTCATGTGGCCCGCGAAGCCATCCTGGAAACAGTGAGGGAACGGCCCCCGCTGCCTTGGCCCTGGCCCAGGCCGGCCGGGAGCCAATGTACAATTTTGTGGTGGCTATCTATGCTGAAATGTATTCAGTCTTAGCTCCACAAGGCCGTCTGGAAACAGCGAGGAACCAGCCCCTGCCGCGTCGGCCCCGCCCCTAGGTGCATGCTGGGGAGGTGTCACCCTTTGTGAGGAATGAAGAAATGCACCATCGCCTGGAAGTGGCCAGCAAATGGCCCTTGCTTACTTCACTTATCCGGCTTGATGGGCTCTGCCCTGGTCCCATCCCTTTCCGCCAGAGACTCTCAGATCTGTCCCACTCCTGCCCAGGCCCCCACAGGCACCCTTGACATGAATGATGTAGAGCTGGCCACGCCCACCCAGTAGGTCACACCCATTCCATCCACGCCCACCCAGTAGGCCGCACCCACCCTGGCCAGACCCACCCTGCTCCCCAATGGCAACCGCAATGCTGATGTGGCCCTCAATGAAATTGAGTTTGACACCTCTGGGTTATAGCCTCCATTCTGTGGTGCTGAAGGGCTAGTGTTTGGCACCTTGGTAAAAGCCCATGATATCCCATGGAGTTTTAAATGCCCTATGCTGTTTAATATCTACTTAAGTCCACAGGCCATCCAGACAAGGGTGGCATATAAATTTAATAAATCATGAAACGTTTTGGAGATACCTGCTCTAATTCTAGGGAAGCAGTTGATAGGTCTGCACTCATGGCCAATGCCTTTTTGGCATATCCAGAAAATGGCTTGGGAGAGGTCCTCTCTTTAGTTAGGAACTTAGTATGAATAGCCAGAGAAAACCTTTCATGAAATATGCCCAATTTTTCATACGACATTTGTTGGGCATGCAGGAGAGGACTTTCTGCTGTGCTTGCAATCGTCTCCCTCCAAGCTTCTTCAACCAAGTCTTGAAGCATGGAAAATTGCTTTATGCTACAAATTTCATTATTTCCACGTTACCTCTGACATGTTGGCTAGTACCCCTTTGCTTCATCCCTCCAAGAGATCCACTAGCCATCATAATCGGTTATGCTGAAAAAGTAGTTATAGCGGCTTAACCCGCTTGCGTACGGTTTGCCAAGTTTTTTTTTTCCCCAGTAGTGTTCTTTGTTCATACAATGCCCTAAATCACAAACTAGCTGCATAGGCAAAAATGGCAGATGTTTGGTTTATGGTTTAATGCAGGGATGTCCAACCCCCCGTTTGAAGACTGATAACGCTTATGGCCCATTGGGAACCAGATCGTGCAAGCGGCAGGTGAGTGTTCAAAACCATCCCCTTTTCTCTCCTCCCCCACCCCCACTGCCGGTCCACGGAGCAGGAAAGGTTGGGGACAGCTGGTTTAATGTATTAGGCTACCAGAGGCAGTACTGTATGTTGTTACAAAATATGAAAACAATAATACAAAAGGGGAAACTTGTGTTTGGAACAGGTTCTTCACGTAAGTATTTTTAAGTAAGCCAAGTGTTTGTTTTGATCCTTCAATTACTCCATCCACACCTGCATAACTATGTAGTGGCATGTTGCATCCACTGGATCTGACCAAAGTATATTAAACCCATCTCTATACATTGCACCTTGTGGCGGTCAACCTAGTGTGGATGTCAGCAAAACGGGTGACTGGCAAGGTTCACTTTCTCTAAGAATTTAACCACGGCCTCAATCCTTTGCACTGTTACTACGGAAGGAAGCCCATTAAAATGGTTGCAACTTGCTTCTGAAGGTCATGCATGGGCTGTTCTGTGTAAGCCATTCTTTATATAGATCCCCTTCTCTGAAGTCTGCAGCGGCCCAAAAGAAAGGCAGCATCCCCATCACACTTGCCTTCTGATTGCACAGGCAAATGAGCATGTCAGGAATAATAGCATCATTAGCAATTCCTGAGCAAAATACCGCAGCATCTTCTTTCCGCAACTGCAGTTTTTCAAAAGGAGAGGATATTCAGGCAGCCTGTGCGTTGCTAGAATATGAAAGGGTCAATCATCCACTTCAGCAGAAGAGTGCTTCATTAGTTGGTTACTTTTTTATTTTGCAGAAGCTTATCATTAAAATCATCTTAGTTTGTTATCAGTGATTATATACTCGGTGCATATCATTAACAGAACATAGACAAGGATTGGTGTATAAACTTGAGAGCCTATCAATTAGAAGTGTTTTAAAAACTTCTCTGCTTATCTAACTTGCTCAATAACAATTCTAAAGATTCTTATGTTAAAGATACTACTAAAGAAGGCATGCATACACATCAAAGTTTAATACCCTACTAAGCTTTTCTTGGGGGGAAAATAAGCTACCTATGCCACCCAGTTAGAAAGGTTGGCCTTTCTGGAGTAAGGATGTCTCCTTCCGTGTAAAGCATATTCCCCATCCTAGCATCTATCAAATGTATTGTGTAACTGCAACCTTCAAAATCCCTAGAGCAGGGTTTCTCAACCTTAGCAATTCTTAAGATGTGCGGACTTCAATTCATTGGCTCAGTTGACCCCAACCATCTTAGATTGCCAAGGTTAAGAAACATTGTCCTACATGCTGGCCCAGGGTTCTGACCTTGGTCATCTCAATGTGCATCTGGAGGGGATCTGTTCAGGAAAGTTCTTTTAGTGGTTTTGTTCTAATCATATAAATGGTAAATAAATGATATGAATAGGTGGGCTTTGTAAAATCAGGAGAGGCAATCTGAGGGAAATAAAACTTGCAAAGAAAGCATTTGAGAGAAATGTCATCTTTGCCATGTTTTAAATTCCTATTTGATGGCAAATGGAACTATGGGACAGGATTGATGATGAAATATTTGCAGCGAATGAACTTCTCAACCAATTAACCATTAAAATCTGGTGGGGGGGAACATGATTATACAGGGAAACATCTAAATTTCTTGCTCGTGTGTTAAAGTCTTGGATAAGCATAAGTCACTTTTCTAAAAGAATAATTCTCCACTCAGCACTGCACTCGGTAATAATTAAGCTACTTTTCACCCTTACCTCCTTTCCATTTAAGGATAATTCTTAAACTGATAAATCTAAAAGCGGTTGCTACTACTGTAATTCAGGAAATACAACATCCAAGCAGAGCAAAAGTGAAACAAGCTGAAGGTAATTTGGCTTTCTTAGGCTGATGAGCTGGCCTCCTTGTTTCATATTTTCTAAGGAGAAAAAAGAAAAAAGAAAGGTGAATGGTAACCATATAGTTCCAGAAACAAAACGATTAGTTTTTTAGAGATATTAGTCTAATTTGGTCTCTCTAGAGTGGGAAAGTCCATGTCATATTTTCAAGATACAAACCAATCATGTATGTTTTAATCATATCCTATAGCAGGGGTAGGCAACCTTGGCTCTTTTGCTGGCTCAGGAATTCTGGGAGTTGAAGTCCACGAGTCATAAAAGAGCCAAGGTTGCCTACCCCTGTCCTATGGATTACTGTAGCATTATTCACTTACCCACGTACTGCCACAAACTCCTTTTATTCAGACCTTTCTCCCTGCAAGTTATTCTAAACAACATTTATTGAACGCACAGCTGTAAATATGTAAGGTGCCATTACAATAAATTTGATCAAACCAATTCAAGGAAGTTGCTCATTTAGCTTTTATATCCATACCTGTGTTCTTCACACATGCGTATATCTAAAAAAAACCTTTTTTTTGTTCCAGCATTATGAAGCGTAAAGACATTTATATGTTCTGCAATCTAGCTGGACCTGCATCTAAAGCATTATAAGTATGGAATCTCTGAAATCTATACATCCAGCAGTATGTTAGGTCAATTGGATGTAGTCAAGATATTTTTTTTCCTTTTCTTCAGAATAACATTTGAACTGCAGTTCTTTATTGCATGGTAGATATTTGTAGCTAATGTAAGAACAAGTCACTATTATTAGCATTTCTGAATCGGAGGTGGGTAGCATTAGCTGGGAAATAAGGAATACGTTGAGGAGCTATGGAGCTTATGTCCTTTACCCCTAGGCCAGCCCTACTTAACCTGGTATCTCCAGATAGGTGGGATTTCAACACAGTTCCTAGCCAGCAAGCCAAAGAGTGTGCAATATAGAACATCCAGCCATCTAAAGAGTATTAAGTTGGGAGAGGCTGCCGTGGCAATCTGTGGGTAGGCATTTGGGGAAGCAGGATACTGCCCTAGAGAGGCCTCTGGTCAGATTGAATGGGATTCTTCTCAAGTCACCTGAAGAGAGCCATCAGTTTTGATCTCCAGAATAGGTCACATTCTCAGGATCCAAAATGCCTGCAAAGACAAAATATTAGCACATTTAAAGAGCTGAAATATCTATTTCTTAATTTGAAAGAATTAATTAGTGCAATGTTTATTACCTCCTTGGGGGTTTTTTGTTTCAGGGCTGTGGTGAGTAGGGCGGACTGGTTCAGTGGGACCAGCTATTCCTATAAATATATATATGTACATATATGTATATATATATGAAATGGTTTACAAAGTAAAAAAGCAATACAAATTTCAAGAAAAAGAAAAGAAATACAAGAAAAAAGACAGAAAAGAAAAAAGATATAAAGAAGTGGCTTCTGATCTTTACAGCAGTTATAAATGCGTTTATATTTTGTCCTCCATCTCTATAGTTCTGTCATTGCTTCCTTCTTTCCATATGCTATCTTTTCTAATCCCATAAATCACAAGTTACTTTTTTTCCATTTTCAGCAAAAACAAAACAAAACAAAACAATAAAGGGTATCTAGTCACTGATACATGTAATTGTCTTTTCCCTAACCAAATTCCTACCTCTGCAAATGTTGTAATTTTTACCAATATTCCTTTATAGTGTGTATTTCAAAATCTTCAGCTATTCTTTTTCCGGGAACTATGCAACTGACACACTGTTTAACCCTGGGATAAAGCTGTCCTGGTTATACAAAAAGCCCCCTACTTTTCTAGAAGCAAAGTGCTTCTAGACTGAAAAATCTGGACCATTAATTCATGAAGATTAGCTTTTTCCTGATCAGGATGTACCTATACTCCTAGATTAGCTTGTCTATGAACAAGGAGCCCTCCCTTTGGTCTAGATCAGGCATGTCCAATCTGCGGCCCACATGCAGTAAGGCAGCCCCACAATTGTAAACTTTTAACATTATTATGTGATTTTTAGCTATATTTTTCATGACTCAATTACACGGTACATGAGTATGGATTATGGAACGCTGTGTAGAGCAGTGTTAACTTCACCTCCCGTGCCCACCACACAGTCAAATAGAAATAGAAAGCAATAACAAATATGTGTCTGATAATATGAGGTGTGTGCCTGTGAAGACAGGTGTTTATTAATATTAATCCAACAAAAAAAAAACATTCTAGGTTTTTTTGTTGGGAAGCAGACATGTAAGTTTTCTTATTTAATTATTGCACTTGGACTTGCTGTATTAGTTTAATAAGTTAAAATAGCTTTTTAGCAGCTGTGGTAGAATAACTGCAAAAATTAATTAAATAGCTCTTTGCTCATGATACTGATATAATTACATATGCCATTGCTAATACTAGAAAAATAAATGGTTGCTTATTTTTTTACGCGAGCACGGCTTCAACATCCTCTCAAAAGAAAACAAAACCCTAAAAAAGGAAAATTGTGGATTAAGAGTGCTCAATGGAAAATGGAGAGTTGAATACTTTTTTTGTCAAGACAAATGGCACTATGCTTAATTTGTAAGGAATTGTGTCAGTTTTCAAAGATCACAATTCAGAAGGAGATTATATGTAAAAACGTGCTGCCAAATTCAATGCATACCAAGGAACATTTTGTAAAAACAAAATCGCAGAATTTTTAAAAAGTCTGTCATCTCAATAATTTTTTTAAACAAATTTACAACTCAAACAGATTCTATTGTGAAAGCTATGGGACAGAAAATCTAATGGCAAAAAAAAATCAAAACCATTTACTGATGGTGACTTTATGAAGCAATTTACTACAGAAAGCGTGGCAGAAATAATTTGTCCTGATTTTAAAAAATGGATTTTTCTAAAATCATTTTGTCTCACCAGCCTATAGCCGGAGGGCATTGTATACATTTGTGAACAACTTTTTTCAAGAATGAAGCACACAAAGAGCAAAATTAGATGAACATTTTCTGACGAGCACTTGAAAACTCACTAGGAATTGCAACCACTTCCATTGAACCAGGCATTTGATGCATTGGTTTTATAAAAACAAGCACAAATATCCCACTGATTTTATTTTTATATTATTGAAGGATGGTTGAAGGAAGGGAAGGACCTCTGCCTCAGAGGAGAGAGATGCCAGAGCTGAAGGGGAAGGATCACCTGGAGGTCGCAAAGTGGGGCAACTCATTCAAATGGTGATGGGCGGGGGGCATATAGATGGGAGCCAAAAGGCAGGCTTTTGCAGGGGAAAATGCCAACTATGCTTAAGACCAGTGGTGTATTCCAGCCTTCTGAACTCATTCCCAGACCCTACACATTAGTCTCTTGGAGGCCCAGGACTTTGGTTGTAATGATGAATGCCAAGCCCCCCTTCCCCTTATTTGCAATCTTATTAGGGAGAAGCAAATCGGCCTGGCATGCATTATCAAGATCCAGCTAACTCCAGAGGGGGGGGGAGAAGGTTCCCCTCTCAAAGATGTGCCTGGAGGGAGGGTGTTAGGGTTTGGCACTAACCAAGGCCACAGGGCAGGGGAGGGGGAGTGGCAGTTGTCATTCAAGAGTCTTGTGGCTTTCAGGGACCATGCTCCCCAAGTTTCCAGATGGAAGACTCAGGATCAAATGGAAGCGTTGCTGCAATACCAGCCTCCCTGGTGCAATAGCAACCTCTCTGCCTCAGCTACTGGAGGCCAATCTGCTTCCAGGTGCAATTCAGGGTGTTGGTTATTACCTTTAAAGCCATCTAAAGCAGGGGTGTCAAACTGCCGGCCCGCAGGCCGGATGCATCATGCCAAAATTGCGCCCACCCGATTGCCAGCAATGGGGAAAAAAGTCACGATACATCGTGACAGGTCACGTAACGTTGCGAGTTTGACACCCCTGATCTAAAGCATGAATCTGGGATATCCGTGGAACCATCTTTTCCCAGTGGGGTTGGCCTGTCCCACTCAAGGGGCCTACTGTGGATCCCATCAGCCAAGGAATTTTGACTGGTGGGAACCAGGAGAAGGGCTTTTTCTGCCCTGGCCCCGTCCTTTGGAATACCTTGCATAGGAAGTAAGATCTGCCTTCTCTTTTTTAGCCTTCAGAAAACACCTTAAAACTTGGCTAAGGTGTCCTGAAGGAAAAACTGTTGGATGGAGGTGATTGGTGCATTAATAGAGAAGGCACTCCCCATTTCTTCACTCCAAACTTATGGACTTTTAGTTTAATTTTTTTGTAATTTTAATCTGTTTTTATATTTATAATTGTCTGGATATTTTATCGCACAGCAAGCAACTCAGAGTCGCTTCAGACTACAAGATGGGCGGCAAACAAATTTAATATTCATAACCATAGCCATCATATGAGTAACTCTCCCCCTTGATAGCAGAAAAAAGCTCTTTACCATCACAGTCTGGACGTCCAAGGATTGAAGAGCCCTCAATCTTTGTGCCATTATTGTAGACACACCAGCAATAGCCACTGCTGGGAAGGCACTGCATAGGCAGATAGTTCCCCTTTTCATCACAATGGGCACAGAATCTTCCTGGATGGACACCCTTAACACACTCTTCCTTCTGACACTTGGTTTTCCCTTTATAAAAAAAAAAAAAAAGGGAGAACCAAGGAAATTTAACGTTTAGAGCTGACTGCCAGTACTCTCGCTGTCCTTTTAAAGCACATGTAAATCACAATAACCACATCCCTTGCCTTCAGAAAAGAGCATATGATGATATGGAGTGTATGGCTGTCAGTGCAGGCTGTGGTGTCAATTCCCCTCAACCTCGCCCAGCAAGGACAATAACAGAGTAACTGAGTTGGAAGAGACCTTGGAGGTCTTCTATCTAGTCCAGGGGCAGGCAACCTTGGCTCTTTTATGACTCGTGGACGTCAACTCCCAGAATTCCTGAGCCAGCTGGCTCAGCCATGCTGGCTCAGGAATTCTGGGAGTTGAAGTCCATGAGTCATAAAAGAGCCAAGGTTGCCTACCCCTGATCTAGCCCAATCCCCTGCTCAAGCAGGAAACCCTATACCAGTGGTGGCAAACCTATGGCACGGGTGCCAGAGGCGGCACTTGGAGCCCTCTCTGTGGGCACATGTGCCGTTGCCCCAGCTTTGCCTCCCCCCGTGACTCCCTCATCAGCAGCCCCCCTGGAGGAGAGTTGCCCCCAAGTGTGGCCCACACGGAGCAGTGCAGTCAAGGTCATGGCAGCCAGGCAGCATAGACAAGACTCTGCCCTTACGCCCCATCGCGCAGAGTTGATGCTGCGGGGCACAGGCAGAGGGCATGGCCGCCATGGCGGTGCTAGGCGATCTGTGGCAGGCCCTGGAGGCGGTAATTGGCCCTGCAGGCAGGCGGGGTGGGGGCAGGATGGGGTGGAGCAGGGGCGGGACCAGTTTTTGGGCACTCGGTCTCTAAAAGGTTTGCCATCACTGCCCTATACTATTTCAGGCAAATGGTTGTCCACTCTCCTTTTAAAAACCTCCAATGTTGGAGAATGGCCAGGAATGGATGGAGTTTTCAAATATTCAAGATATTTGATCCTGGAGGGATCAGAGTTAATAATTGCAGTAGTTTATGATAGATTAGAAGTCATTGTGGACTTTCTGCACATTAATTACAATAGATTGTTAGCAGAGGGCTTTGAAGTTTAGCTTTACTGTTGGCTGTTATCTATTCTTTCTTATAGTGGATAGATGGTAGTTCAAACTGGTTTGGTTAACAGAGTTGTAAAAGTTCATAAACTGGATCTGTTTTCAAGGGAGGGAACTATTATGGTTGAAATATACTTATCGGTATTCAAGTGGGAGGGGGACAATTTATGGGTATGGGGTTTTTATGCCCATTTTTTGTCTTAGTTTATCATTTTGCCTTGTTCTTGTTTTCTTTTTTCTTTTAGAGTTTGTATTTTAAGTTTGGATGTAAAATTAACAAAAATTATGAGAGGAGGAATGGCGGGAGTTGTATTTCAGCTATGTCAGAAGAGATGCAGTTCTCCAATGCTGATAAAATTAAATATGACAAATGTATGTATTGAGTATAATTCAGAAATAAAGTGTTTTTCAGAAGGTGGCACAACTACACTCCAGAAAACCAGTCTCTCAGGGAGAAGCACTCAATACAGTTTGACCCAGGATGGTGGGGCTTTTGCATACACAACACACAACATTACAAGGGAAAGGGAGCACCCAAGTCTTCTGTATAGCCCTTGCACCACACACAAGCAGTCTGGAAGCTCCAAGCAAAGTTTTAACATATGGCTTGGCTGACTGTGTCAGTTGCTCCTTAATCATCAAAACAGGTTGTTCCATTGTAGCTACACCAAGGAAAAGGGAAGGGTAAGGAAATAATGCTTTTTGTAACAATATGCCACTTTAATTAGGACAGCTATTTCGTTGGGATGGCTCCCAGGGAAACCATTTAGCCTAATGAGAGCAAACGCTAATGAGTAGTTTAATGGAGGTAGTATTAATATAAATTCCGCTAACGGGGGGGGGCAGTGGCTGATGACTGCTGGGTGGCTAATTGATATGAAAATCTCAGCCATGGGGGTTTGATTTCAAAAACCGCAGAAATCACAGAAGGAAGCATTCTTTTTAAATTCAAGATTGGTGCTCAAGTTTGTTACATAAAGTTACTGAACTTACTGAAGCATTTTTGAATCATTTAGGGAGGGAGTTGCTAAATTGCCTAAGATGGTCCCATGGGTTTTAAATTATACTGAAGAGGCTCTTAATTTGCACCTCTGGTCTTCCTTCCTCACAGATGCAACTTCTAGCTTGTAACTGAAGTATTAAATGAATCACTTATTGCCAGGTGTGTGAGAGAGGGGGGGCGAGAGGGGGAGGGAGTCAGAGACAGACAGACACACACACACACACACACACACACACAGAGAGAGAGAGAGAGAGAGAGAGAGAGAGAGAGAGAGAGAGAGAGAGATTCTTCAGCTTTGTGACCTCCAATGCTTTCTCTTCTATTTCCATCTGGGCTCTATTACAGTATGAAAAGCTCATCAACCACCAGGTTCAATAAGTTAACAGGTACAGGTGGTCCTCAACTTGCAACCTTTGCTTGTCAGAAGGCCACAAAAGGAGATCACGCAGCCCCAGGACAAACTGGTCATTAAGTCACTTTTTTTCAGTGCCATTGTAACTTTGAATGGTCACTAAATGAACTGTCGTAAGTCAAAGACTACCTGTATTGTGTACATTTTGTCCATTGCCTCTTCTTTGTAGAAAGGCAAGGAGCTACAGATACAATGGATCCCCAAGTCAGGCATCCTGTAGAAGCAAAACAATCAGGTACGCTATGCTACTTTTGTATTAATTGATTCAGAAAGACACCCTGCCCCCACCAAATGATGTCCAATGTGTTGAAAGCGGTCCCTTCAATGGGTGACAGGGAACACCTGGCAAAGAAGAAGGGGCAACAAGAGACAGGAGTGGCTTGGCTGCTGCTTTTCACGTTAAGATCCTTCTTGTTCTCTTGCTCACTGAGATCAGCCCTAATCTGCTACTGGCATGGAGCATCACTCTTGATACATATAGACACCCAATAAAGATGGACATTTTCTTCCCAGCTTAAGACTTTGGTCAATTTACATCAAGAGGGGCTTTGAACGTTTTACACAATGAGTTATACCCAAATGGCAATATTCTTTGGCACCTCCTTCAGTAATTCCCCTGGACATGTTGCTCTCAGAAATATATTGTTGCAGGGCCAAAGACAAGTGTCTTATTTTATGCAAAACAGGAACTGAAGGGCACAGAATATAATTTTACAGCTGGCAACAAGACTACTGAATTCAAGCAACATTTGCATGAAGAGAGGAGCAATACCCTTGGCATCAATTAAAAACACGTTTGCATCTAGAAACGCCTTCTAGGCAGAGCATTATCTTTGAGTGAGGGGCTTGCCTTGGCTTGTTTGAGAATGGAACCAAACTTTCATCTAGTTCTCACAAATTAGGGAGTTTTTCCTCTTCCCACTCTCCATCCCAGCTAGTTTGGAGGATGGGAGGACCATGTAGGATGGAGAGAAGGAATTTGTGGAAATGGCAAAATTCCCTTTGCAACAGAACAAGAGATTTCCATTTACAAGATGGGACCTTTGAATTCCTTCATAGAACATGGGGCTTCTCTCCAGTCAAACAAAGCAGTAACTGCTGAGTTCTTCCCCTAAAGGTCTCCTCTGCCCAGTGATGTCTGATTCTAGGAGGTGAGGCTCATCTCTGTTTCTTAGACAAGGGAGCCAGTGTTGTCTAAAGACATTTCTGTGATCATGTGGCCAGCACAACTATACATCGAGGTGCATGGAACACTGTTACTTTCCTATCAAAGTGGTGTCTATTTATGTACTTGTATTTACATGCTTTCATACTGCTAGGTGGGCAGAAACTGGAGCAAGTAACGGAAGCTCACCCTGTTGTGCAACTCTCAGGTCTCAAATCCAGGTTGTCAGCTTTCCAGCTGACAAGCTCAGTGTCTTTAACCACTGAGCCATCGCACCCCCAACCCCATTCTTCCCTTATGAACCCTGATAATATGTACATGCACATTACAGTGTGCCCTGATATGCTCATGATGTGCACTTCCTTGACCTCATCATCCGATATTGCTGGTCAGACGTGCATATTTTGAGTATTTTTTAAACCAAATTGGCTTTCTTCGTTATTATAACGCAAGGTACTGGAAGTCCTCAACGTATGACCACAAACCGAGCCCAAAATTTCTGTTGCTAAGCAAGGCAGTTGTTAAGTGAGCTGTGCCTCATTTTATGACCCTTTTGCCACAGTTAAGTGAATCACTGCAGTTGTTAAGTGAATCATGAGGTCGTTAAATGAATCTGGCTTTTCCCATTGACTTTGCTTGTTAGAAGCCAGCTGAGGTGGTCACAAATGGTGATCATCCGACCCCAAGATAGGGTAACCATCATAAACACAGGCTAGTTGCCGAGTGCCCAAATTTTGATCACATGATCATAATGATGCTGCAACAGTTGTACCTGTGAAAAATGGTCATAATTCACTTTCCTCAGGGCTTTTGTAACTTCAAATGGTCACTAAACGAATGGTTATAAGTCGAAGACTACCTGTGTTGTACTGTACTGATGCCAAAACAACTAGACACAAGGAAAGTTTTTCCCCCATGCCATCACTCTGCTAAACAACTACAGTAGTTCCCACAACACTGTCAAACTATCTACCGTAATAGGGCTGTATTACTATTATCCTTCTCATCTTTCCTATTACCTATTTCCTCATCCTTTTATGACTATAACTTTGTTGCTTGTATCTTATGGTTTATATTAAATGTTTTATTTTATTTAATATCCTAGTATGATTCATGTTGATGGCTTATTTAGTATCCTATGACTATCACTAAGTGTTGTATCTTATGATTTCTGATGAATGTATGATTATGATCATGATTTATCACTTGTTGCTTTTATGTACACTGAGAGCTTGTGCACTGGAGACAAATTCCTTGTGTGTCCAATCACACTTGACCAATAAAGAATTCTATTCTATTCTATAAGTAAAGCTTCATAGATGGGATGTAGGGAGACAAATTCTATCCTGACCCTTCTGCATATACCTTAGTATTTAACTTTCCTCACAAAGCTTGACAGCATCGCAATACTTGGAACTGCCTTCTAGAATATTGTTTGCTGTTTCTATTCATTTCCTACACCTTTTTAGGGTGATAAGCACAAGTAAAATATAACATTTTGATCTGCTCTGAGTTGAATGTTGAATTCATCGTTTGGTTGCAAGAATTTCCTTAGTTCATGCCTAAAAGTTGTTTGTTTCCTTCAAGTCTAGCATACATACCTTCTGTATCCTGTTTTTGGGCCATTTGGAAGATCAGCCACTTGTGCATCCAGGTTTCAAACTCCTGCAAACAGACCAGATATCATTACTGAAGGTTAATTATATTAAATTAAGGCCATTGTAGTTCTGCCCCTCTTTGTTAACCCCTTGGGGAATAATCCGTATCTTCTAAAGAGGGCTATTGAAGATCCATGGGAAGCTGCAGATGCTTCTCATGTAAGTAGAGAGGAAGGTAGAAATCCAGAGCCTTCCTGGTGGCACTATACGTGAACCTCGCAGTGATAGCAGAAATCGGAATAAGGCAGTCCAGCATCTTGATAAGAATGAGAGAATCACAGAAGAGGGATGGGGGATAAGGAGAGAAAATCAGGGACATCTAAGGAGGAGGAACATGACTCCAGGAACAACAGAGACTTACTTTCCAGTCGTTGTAAGCCATGTGGATCTTCAGTTGCCCCATATTTTCCAGGAAGTTGCTTTTTAATTCAGGAAAAGTTCTGGTTGGGTTTTCTCGCTAAAGAAAGAAACATATTTACAGAAAAGATACAAGGGCCGTTGTTCAAGAGCACCAAGGCCAGGGTCATATGCTGATTATTCTTTTCATTTCATTTTGGCTTATTATGTGGCTAAGCCTTTGCAGCTTGGTCAAGAAACTATGTTTAATACATGGTTTAGGATTATGCATAAATTCACATTATGCTAAACTATGATTTGTTTAACTATGGCGTATTGAAACAATTGGTGTCAGTTTCCTGCAACATGTTTAGCCCAAATGAAGCATCGTGTGTGATGACTTTGTATGAACCAGGTTGATTACCAGGCTTAGTTTATACATCATGAGCAACTTGGTTTCAGCTGTCTAATAAAGTGCCATAATATGTAAGATCATCTAGTCATGACTGCAACAGTTTTGCACGTTTGAACTGGATCACCTCTGCATTCTTCTGAACGGTAATTTAAGTAGAACAGGAGTTGATGGGATAGGTTGCTGGCATCCCTACCCCATAGTTTTCCTCCCTCCAATTTCCTTCTTAAATTCTCTTCCTTGTTAAGAATAAGGAAGCTGACCTTGATGGAGACATGCAGGTGCTACCTAGACAAAAGAAGCTGGATTTTTTTTTAAGTCCAGAAACAGATGACATTAGAAAGTGGTTTAGGCAGACACCTCCCCAAATTCGTTGAATTATAGGAAGAATGAAAAGGTGTAGTACAATGAGATTGTTGCAAGAGACTGTTGTTACATCCAATGTCAGAGTTTCAGAAGGCTAAAGCTACTGTAGAATTTATTTCCTAGCCTGATCTACCTAATGGGACTGACAATCAGCTCAGTAAGATTCCAAATCTGAATGTAATTCTTATCAAGAGAAAAGCAGATAGGCCAAAGAGATTTTGAAACATCCATTTCACTCATCTAGTATAACTAACATCGAGTATATGTGAATGCATAGGCTGGGGAGTGGCCCTAAAACCCACAGATCAACCAAGAAGGGAACTTGAAATAAAAAGTACATCTCTCTTCGCACAGTTAAAGTGAGAGCACTTAGCAAGAGGAGCTCTCTGGCCAGGGTCCAAAGCAGTTACATAACTGACTGAAAAAACCAGCACAGAATTACAGGTGTGCTTTGTTGCTTGAAGAAACAAACTGCTAATCAGCTTAACCAGTGCAAACTGCTGCACCAAAAGTTCCAGCTTGATATGCTATGCTTTCACCGGCAGCTTCCTTAGATCTTGGCAGAAACTACAGCTAGGTTCTGTAAAATTTACTAAAGAAGGAACTTCCCACTCCCATTTTTCTCGGAGTTTGAGTTCCTCCACAGATTTTATGCATCTGCAGTCAAGGATCATTGCTGATTCTCATGTAGGGGAAAAAACATTCATCAGTCAACTTCGCTGCTTGAAAAGCAAAGTGGCTTAACAAGATTTACAAAATTAATGAAGTCTCAAACCTGATTCTTACTAGGAAGAAGGGCAAATTTTCTGCTGAGAATAGCTTAATTGGCCCTTTTATGACTTGTGGACTTCAACTCCCAGAATTCCTCAGCCAGGCACGCTGGCTGAGGAATTCTGGGAGTTGAAGTCCACAAGTCATAAAAGGGCCAAGTTTGAAGACCCCTGTTCTAGGCATTAGAATAGTTTTCTTACAAAATCTTTTACAATTAAGCTAGGGGACATACAGGTAGTGCTCAACTTATAACCATTTGTTTAGTGACCATTCAAAGTTGCAGCGCCACTGAAAAAAGTGACTTATTACTATTTTTCACACTTACAACCATTGCAGCATCCCCATGGTCATGTGATGAAAATTTGGATGCTTGGCAACTGGCATGTATTCATGACAGTTGCAGTGTCCTGGGCATCATGTGATCCCCTTTTGTGAATTTCTGACAAGCAAAATCAATGGGGAAGCCAGGTTCACTTAACAATCGGTAACTTAACTGCAGTGATTCACTTAACAACTGTGGCAAGAAAGGTCATAAGAAAGGTCACAAAACTCACTTTAATAACTGACTTGCTTAGCAATGGAAATTTGGGACTCAGTTATGGTCATAAATCGAGAAGTCTGTATGCATTCTTACAACCCCAGTCATTTAGCCAATCTATATGAGCTGGGGGCACTACAGTTAAAATTTGGGTCTCATATAAGCAACCTAGCCTTCCTTCTCTTTCTAAATCCTGCCTGCTCTCCTGCTGTCACAACCTTACTAGGGATGGGGATACCATCTTGCACAGTTTCTCCACCAGGACAATCCATTTTCTGACAACTATGGCAGGCCTATCCGGAACACAGTTTGCAGGAAGGTGACCTTGCCATTGTCTTCTTGTGTTTAAGGCTACATACTGTGTCCAAACTGCATGCTTCTCCCCTAATGCCTAATGCTGGGTGGAAGGTAGGTTCAAGGAGGAGCCATAGACTTGAGAGGAGCTTGAACACAACAGCGTGTGGTGCAGTGTGTGTGTATGTGCCTTTTCCTTCAAATTTTCATGCCTCACTGCATGCAGATTTGTTGGACTATCCACAATCAAGACACAATGCTTTGTCAAAAATGCAAAAGTAACAACACGAGAGCCTTACCAAGAGCAGACGTTTGACTTGATCCTCAGTGCTGTTAGTCAGCTTGTTTTCCATCAGCAAAAACTGTGGAAAAGAAAATAGAGATTTAGAGAAGGAAAAGTGAAAATTAGAAGGAGCTCCCATTTCCCTGGAATTATAGTACGTAGGTGGCATGTCTATTCTTGTGATCATGAGGAAAGCACTGAGGTCACTTAAACATAACCGTGCCTCATTTTGTGTGTATTTTCTCTAAATATACTTGTGCATAAATTTCTAAACATGTGCAATTTAGTTTGCAAACGCCATGAAAGTTTGTGCAAAAACGTGTTGCCTTGAGAACACTACATAACCCTTGGTTGAGCTGCTGTGAAAGGTGAACTTTTAAAACTAGCCAGTTTTTCGGAATTTGCAGAACTGCCCACTGAAGTAGCTCAAGATGATGGGAATTCAACACACATAGACAACAAAAAGTCTTGGAAAGGAGCAGTGGCCTTCACTGTCTCTCGTATTTACCTCTGGTTCATTCAGGGCCAAAGGCATCACATTAGCTATTGCCATCTTTGGACCTGACCGGACATCTGTGGGAAGAAAGAAAACTGTAAAATACAGACAGAAAGAGATAAACATAAGAGCATTCACAGGTGCCTCCTACCCTTATAGTTATGTCAAAGCAAGGACATAAGAATTTGAGTCCCTGGCTATAATCCAGACAAATCTCTGAAGCATGTTTACCTTTGTGCAATGTGTGAGTGTGCCCAGTAGAAATTTTGGCTTGCTTTCTTTGAGTCAGAAACCCTGTCCTTCATACTCAACCACAAATTACTTTCAAAATCCCTTTTCCTACCGGATGGCTTTTTCCAAGCAGGATTAAATAAAGAGATCATGATGAGCCTGTGCAACTGCAAACAAGAAGTCACAAGTAAACCTTGTGTGAGGGTCATCTATCATCTTTGTGCTCTGCAGCTAAAAGTGAAAGGGGGGAGAAGGTGAAGATGATTAGGGGACTGGAGGCTAAAACATATAAGGAACGGTTGCTGGAATTGGGTATGTCTAGTTTAACAAAGAGAAGGACGAGGGGGGACATGATAGCAGTGTTCCAATATCTCAGGGGCTGCCACAAAGAAGAGGGAGTCAAGCTATTCTCCAAGGCACCTGAAGGGAGGACAAGAAGCAACGGGTGGAAACTAAGCAAGGAGAGAAGCAACCTAGAACTAAGGAGAAACTTCCTGACAGTTAGAACAATTAACCAGTGGAACAACCTGCCTCCAGAGGTGGTAAATGCTCCAACATCGGAAGTTTTTAAGAAGAGACTGGATGGCCATTTGTCTGAAATGGTATAGGGTTTCCTGCCTGAGCAGGGGGTTGGACCAGATGACCTCCAAGGTCCCTTCCAACTTTATTATTATTATTATTATTATTATTATTATTATTATTATTATTATTATTATTATTATTATTATTACTAACTTTTAGAGATGCTGCCAATCAGGGAGTCCAGTTTCAGTTGCTGGGTGTTCTTGGTCAGTTTGTTGATCTGGTTGTCATGTTGATACACAAAGTAGACAGTCACAGCCTGGCCAGCGAGGAGCAAGGCCCCCAGGAGAGAAAAGACAGTGTAGGCAGTCCCACGGCTGCAAGAACTTCTGCCAAATATAAGAGGTGTGTGTCAGTACTCACCCAGTCATCCTAATGTCTGTCCCTCCCTCTCTAACCCCAGGTCCTATACTGAAACATCTGCATTGCAGTGGCGATGAATGCACATTTGCAGGATTCTGCTAGGGATACACTTTGCTTAGACCAGCGGTTCTCAACCTATGGGTCGCGACCCCATTTGGGGTCGATTGACCATTTCACAGGGGTCGCCAAGCAAGGCTGTCCGCCATTTTTTTCCCCCTTTTCCGGCGGATGCCTTACCTCCCTTGAGCTGGGCCAGCTGGTGGTCGGCCTGCTCCGTCTCTGCCGCTTGCCAGCTACGCCTCAGCCGGTGCAGGGAGCGGAACCACGCATGTGCGGCGCTCCCCGGCAGGGAAAGTCCTCGACTTACGACCGGTTGGGTAGTCCTCGACTTACGACCGGTTTAGTCCTCAACTTACGACCGGTTTAGTCCTCGACTTACGACCGGTTTAGTCCTCGACTTACGACCGGTTTAGTCCTCGACTTACGACCGGTTTAGTCCTCGACTTACGATCGGTTGGGGGTCACGGCATTAAAAAGGTTGAGAACCACTGGCTTAGACATTTCTTCCATTTATTAATGCAAACCTCTGCCTGTTGCAATAATTACCAGGTTAGTTGAGATAGCAGAAAGACTCCGTGATCCACCCCCCTTGTGGTTTCATTAAAATTAAAAAGAACTATAGAGAAAGAGCAAATGAAGGCATTACAGGTAGTCCTGTAGTGACTGTTCAAAGTTACAATGTCGATGAATAAAGTAACTTATGACTATTTTTTCACATTTACGACCGTTGTTGCATCCCTATGACCAAAATTCAGACGCTTGGCAGCAGACTCATATTTATGAGGGCTGCAGTGTCCTGGGATCACGTGATCCCCTTTTGTGACCTTCTGACAAGCAGAGTCAGTGGGGAAGCCAGGTTCACTAACAACCGTGTCATTAATTTAACAAATGCAGGGATTCACTGAACAATTCTGGCAAGAAAGATCATAAAATGGGGCAAAATTCACTTAATAAATGACTCACTTAGCAACAGAAATTTTGAGCACAATTGTCATAAGTGGAGGACTACCTGTATCTTTTTCCTTTTCCCTCATGGAAATCCCTCCCTTTGGAAGTTGCCAAATGTAGCATAGCATAGAGCCGTGGTGGCGAACCTGTGGCATGCAGAACCCTCTCTGTGGGCACGCGCGCCTTCGCCCCAGTCCTAGTCCTTCAGCTGGGTTTTATAAAACCTTTTCGCTTTAGGCCTCCACCGTGTGCAAAAAAAAAAAAAAAGGTTCAATCAATCAATCAATTTCAACTTTTCACAGAAAAAAAAGATCTCACAAAGTTGGAATTGATTGATTGAACTTTTTAATCCCACCCAGTCTGCCGTTACCACCGCAGCCACGCCCACCCAATGGGCCACGCCCACCCAATGGGCCACACCCACCCAATGGGCCACGCCGACCCAATGGCCACACCCACCCAGCACCCGACGATACCTAAGTGGGTTTTGGGTTGCAGTTTGGGCACTCGGTCTCTAAAAGGTTCACCATCACTGGCATAGAGGCACTTAAGTATATACTCCACCACCACCCACCTGAGCAAACAGTGCAGGGAACTGAAAGTGGGATAGAATAGAAAAAAGCTCATCCACCCCACCTGCTCCTTAAAAAAAATATGAGATCTGCTCGTTGTAACTCCTGGTATCTTAACAAGTGGTTTTAAAACCTTAGAACTCCATAATTTCTCAAAGGAAGTTAATAAATGACCAATAATGTAAATATCCCACTACAGTGGACGACTTGACAATAGCTATCTTTAGATTGTTCTTAAAATAGAGGTAGGAAATCATGGACTAAAATGAGAGGGCCCCCCCCCATTTTTCTCCCTCTTTTGCAACTCCCCTGCCTTCTAACCCAAGATAAAGATATGATTTTTTTATATATATAACACAGACCAAACTGGATACGGTCTAATAGGCTTTAAATTAAAAAAAAATTATACATGGCCAATTAAAAAAAAAAAGTCCCCTACCAAATTATAGAAAATCCCGTCTTCCCCTCCCAAAGCTCACAAAATGACCTGGTCCAAAAACAAAACTGGGAAATTCCCAAGAGACCTTTATCTGATCCATTAATTTGGATCTGTTGCTTGGAAAATAGAAGTTGAAAGTGAAAGAGAAGAAATATTTCACTGCGCAACATGAGAGTATAACAAATCGAAGTTTTTGTTCTGGCCACTTCTCTTGTACACGTGCACTTTATGACTGTTTCAGGAAGGTCCACAGTGTGTGTGGTCAAAAATAATCAAGATGTGTGACATGTAAAAAACAGGTGGAGTTTTGAACAATCAGGATACTTATATATTGACTGATTATAGAGGCAGTTGCAGGTTACAGACGAAGGACTTTTGAAAAGTCACCAGTTTTTTTAAAAGATGGATATGTTGGGCAACACTATCCTAGAAGAGGCTTTTCCATGTGCCAAGTTTTATATGCAGGTATAAGCAACGAAGAGGGACTTTCAGTATGGTTTCCTTCAACTGTGTCCAGAACTAGCATGTTCGTTTAATCTTGTCAAATACTATATCTGCTTGCTGCTAGAGTGGTTGTGTCTTCTCCAGACAATTCTGGAAAAGAGGCAAAAACTGAAATACATTAACTGACGTGACAGATATGACAACTGGGGGAAAGTCCTTCTGGCAGGTTAAAGAATTCCACTTATGATCATCTTCTAACTAATTATCATAAAACTACACTGCCTGATTGCTCAAGATTTATTTCTGTCAATATCAGTAAGTTTTAAAAGATGAAAAAGTCCTCAGTTAACTACATTCTCGTTGACTGCATTCGTGCACAATACTTGGCAGCATTACCGATGTGATTCACTTTCTTCCAGAATGTTCTTTCAACTTCCTGATTTAGAAACGCCAGGCAGTTCCCCACCTACGTACCACTCAGGACAGACCTTCCTTCTGAGATCTTCTGAGATCACATAGTGTTAGGTAGATATTGCCATTCACTGAGTGTACCAATATACTCTGGGCAATCTTCCATTTTAAAATAACTTAGAGTGGATCCAAAAGCAGAATATACTGGGGTGTTGCCTTGAGAAAAAAAACCCTCTAGGGTTTAGCATTTTAGTTGCAAGTTATACCAATATGCACTCAGTAGGAACTAGAAAGTGTGCTCCTAACTGAAGTATAGATGAGAGGTTTTTGAACACATTTCACCCTAGAAACAGCTAATCATCTGGAATCTATTAAATGATTGGCTTTGATTATTGGATGTCTTATAGTAGCCAGCTTTACAGCGCTATAATTCCCTAAAAATGGTCTCTATTAATAAGGATTACTTTTCCCCATACAGCATCTGATGACATAAGATACAACTTTTGGCACAGTAACAAATATAAATGTGGTGTGGGAATATGAGAACCCAAATTCACATTTCTGCTGATTTATGAAGCCCTGAACATTTTGCAGGAGTATTGTAAAAGTAACACAGTAGACTTTTAGCTTTTCTTAAAGAACCGGTAAGATGCCTATGTAATGAATTTTGGGGAGCAAAAATGAAAGCAATATTGTCCTTTTTTGTAAAAAAAATGTACGAAGTAGTTCTATAGGGCAGAATAAATAATGATGAAAAAGCAAACAGGACAATTGGTGGCTACAAGTATGTTTTAAAAATGAGACTTTCAATGCAAAAAAACAAGTGAATATTTTTTTACCGCTTAGAAAGGAAGAAAAAGGAGAGGAAGAGAGAATTGAGTTGTATTTTTCAAAGCACCATTGTAAAAAAAAAAAAAAGGAAAATGGTGAAGTACCAGAGAAAATTTATAATTCTTTGCCAGCGATTAAAAAATAGCTCCAATACTTATTTAGTTTTAGCACATAACTTAATATGTTATTAAACATATTATGGCTGTGGCCTCCATACGACCTGATTGGTTTTCTTAAGCACCAGGCACTGTGTCTCAACTTTTTGGTGAGCTTGAGAGATGTGCCCTTGATTGATTGTGCTAATGAAGCAAGCCAGGCATGAAAAGATTCAGGGGTAAGAAATATATCTAACCTTGAACAAGGTGTATAATCTTGTGCTAAGTCAAAATATGGTTGGTTTGAGACTTAGCATATAGTGTGAACCCAGCCATTGTGATTTATAAAACATAGTTTATGATGTGGCGTGAGTGTAAAGCCAATTCAATAAATCATAGTTTAACAAAAAATAAAAATAATCTAAGCAATATCATCCGACATATATTTATTCACACAACCCCGTGGATACAAATGGGTTTATTTCCATGTAAATTTTCATAATGCTACAACTTCAGTGCCTCTCATGACTCCTTTTTCTTCCATTTTGAAAATCCATATAATCCAAACCGTGACTTTTGCCACCAGATTCCCTCCAGTTGGAACAGACTATCTCCCATTTAGCATAATGACCAGCATGTGAGAGGGGATGCTTGGAATTGTAAACCAACCCATGTGGAGGGCATCATAGACTGAGGGTCAACTTAAACCCTTGTCTTAATTCCTTCTAGTATCAGCACCAATGTTTCTGGACACAATGGAGATGTTGCAGAAGGACCAGCCAATTACCATCTCTCTCACCTACATCAAATGTCCCCTATTTTTCAATACAACGGAGGGTGCAATACTGAAAACTCAAAACTCAGCCCAAGGAAATAAAGGAGTGGTAGCTACAAATACCTTGCTTGTGGTCGAGATGGTGGGAGAAGAATATGGTCATCCTCCATGGTCTTAATTGCCTCAGTTCTGCAGAGTTCTGGCAGTGGGCTTGATGACTGGAAAATGGGAACTTTTAAAAAGTTTGCTGGGCTTTTCAAGTGTTTCTTGAAAGGCAAATGAAGGAAGTGAAAGTTGAAAGTAATAGGTAACTGGAAATACCCTTCGATACTCTGCCCACTTTATTATAATGAAGTAATCTAATTGGGCATTTTTATTTCAGATTTAATTTCTAAGAGATGTCATTGGGTACTCAAATGACATCACCTGTTGGCAGGCAGCCTGTGGCTGTTCTTGGTTTCATCCAATACTTAGCATGCAATCTCTTTATCAAACTGGCTTTTACCATAGTTAATGATTTTGTAGCTACTTCACCAAAGAATAAATACTACTGGGAACAAAGAATTGTGACATGTTAGGAGCTCTGTACAGATACATAGACATTCCTTCAAATTCAGGTCAAATAACAGACTGACTAAATTGTAGTTCACAGCTTTTGTTCATGTTGATGTTGTCTCCCTATTCCAGCTATTTTGACTCTCTCCATACACAAAATGGTGTCTCTTCCTGAGAGTACTTTTGCATGCATTTTAATGAATGACAACTGACAGGAATCTAGCTTCTAGTTCAGGATCCATTCCATCCCTCAATGAGAAAGTTTTTGTAGGTAAAATTCTCACAGAAACTTCAGCCCCAGAGCAGGATGTGGAATTCGAACTTTGGAGAGTCTTATCCTCAACTAGTTCTTGTTGGAAAATGATTGAGGGAAATTTCCAGTTTAGTTTGCAAATTCCTAGTCAATTCTTACATCCAGATCAGAGCAAGAATACACCACTCAGTTCAAAATCTGTCTCTGTACCTATATCATTTTATTATTTATAGCTGTACCCGGCCACGCGTTGCTGTGGCTCAGTCTGGTTAAATGGAAAAGAAAGAAAAGAGAAAGCACACGTTTCTAATATGTTTAATTTCACAATGCTTGTGGGTATACAATATTTTTTGTTGTTCCATTGTCTAGCATGTGTTGCTTTTACGTCCAACAGATGGTGCTGTTTTTCAAAAAAAAGCATGTTTTTACCTGTCACAGGTGTGACTATATAATATAGGTATATAAAAACACGCGCATATTCGAATGCAACGTTGTGTCAAACTTTCAAAGCAATCGGTGAAGAACTTTCGGAGATTTAAGATTTTGAACAAATGAACATTTACATTTTTATTTATATAGATTAAGTATCAGGAAATATCAAAACATTGACTGGCAAAAAAAATTAAAGGGCAGGCAAAATCAAGAAAAAAGACATTAAGAGGCAAGAATTTACATTATCTATACATTATCTACCAAAAGGATCACTCCAAAGAATTTTTCAGAACCACTGAATCAATATATTAAACAATTAGCAAGGACATCCAAAAAGGAATCATCTTTGGTTATTCCAGCTATAACTCTTTTTTGTACATAATGGCAGAGGAATAGAGATGAGAAGTAGGATATTAGTTGATAACTCCTTCATTCTGCATTGTGGAAATAACTGCTTTCTGGATAGGGATAATGCAGTATTTCTCAATTTGAGATTAAGAAACATTGGAATTATATGCCCAACAGTTCTTATAGGCTCCTTAGCAGTGCTAAAACAAATAGAAGTATGGCCGTTATTTCATTTATTTTAAAATAATTTTTTGAAATAGATCAGAGGCCTAGTTTTGTCAGGCAGAATTTTAAAATTTAGGTTACAATTTGTAATAGACTAAGATACAAAGAGATGATCTGAGAATCTGGACAGTTTCCTAATTTGTAGTATCGTATTATAAGATAAAATCCAGCATCACGAGTAGATTTTGCTGGTCGGTTGGGCTTTCCAATCATCTTCTCTCCTTTGAAGCCCCTTTTAATCTAAAATCTACTTGAGAGGAGTCCTAATCCTCAGCAGCAAGGTTTAAATAGTCAAATCATGATTTAAATCTGCTTTTTCCCAAACAGCCAGGAGGCATAGTTTAACTTATATGCTTTCTTTAATGTGGGAAGGCAACCGATTGCTAGGGAATACTTTCCCAATGGCTACCTGATCTGCACATTCAGTTGAGAGATGAGGCCAGAATATTCCCCTACTAAAAGCAGGGCTTTTTTTGCCATAGAACGCCCAGAACGGAGTTCCGGCACCTTTTTTGGATGGAACCTTGTAGGGTAGGCAAGGCGGGTTGTATGACGTGTGTGAATTCCGGCACCTTTTTTTTTTTTTTAGAAAAAAAGCACTGACTAAAAGTATTAGAAAACCAACGGGTCCTGGGAAAGACAGGGACAAAGGAGATGAACACATGCTCCCATGGTTTAGTTAGTACTGTATACACATTCTGTAGCTTTCATACATCACAGCAAGTTACTCAGTCCTTTGTGGCAGGTTTTCCACCAATGCTCAACACCTTGAAGAAGACCTGGGGGTAACTGATGGGCTGCTTCTGAGCAAAATGGGCCTTACTGAGAGTAACTTTTTACAGTTCAGAATATAAACTTCACAAATGTGGGCGTCTTCCGTCTCCAAATCAAATACTGTATATTTCCTAGTGTTCTAAGGAAATACTCATATAGTTTAGATTTATGGGTTCTCTTCTTGTGGCTTTTTTGTCAAAAGATTGAGCCAGAGGAGAGGTTCGGAGCTCTTTCCAGGAGCTGCTAGTTTGGGCCACCTTGGCTCCCACTAATTTAATATTTTTTTAGCTTTTTTTTTAAAAAAAATGTTGTTTGCATCCCACCCTTATGTTGGTCTATGAGTGTTAATAAAGATTTGATTGATATGCATGCAGTTTTCTCTTTAACAACAGAGATGTGGTTTTACCACCTTCTTCTTCCCAGTTTATTTTACAAGGCTGGGATTTACTGATGGCCTCTCATCCAAATACTAACTAGGCCCAACCCAGCTTTTGTTTTCAAATAGCCATGGTTAGATAGTACTGCCACCTAGTGATTGTATTAAGGGAAAATGTCTTATTAAGGAGAATATTAAACGTCTTATTAAAGAGAAATTTATTGAAGAGTATGGACCATGAGGTATGTCTTGCTACCTCTAAGAGGTAGGAAATGCAGGCTTTTCTTCACTACCTGCTACTGATTAAATTAATACTAAAATAGAATTTTATTAGCAACAGTGGCAATAGCCAATACCAACTCCCTATTGAGGTGAATCTCAGCATCTCAATAGACATTGTGCTTGTTTCAGTGAGAAAACACTTAGATCAGCTGATTTTGGAGACGGTAAAAGGAGAATTCATTTACAGAGCAACCACAGAACATTTAGAACAAAACCATGATAGCATGCTTTGCGAGCAATGTGCTATATTCTCAAAAGCTTTATGTAATTACAACGTTCTGTTGAGAATGAGTGCCTGCTTAGTAGCACTAAGCACTACTAACGAGTCACTTTTACATGAATAAGCTTGCACACAAAAAGAGGAAATCTTTTTTTTCAAGATGCCATTTTTCACAGAATGAGAGTACGAAGAAATTGTGGGGACTGCTTCTCTAAACTATTTTCAGAAGAGGAAGCTGTCACAGGTTTCTTTAAGTATATTCAAGCCAGTGAGCTCCAAAACACCAGAGCCAACACAACATAGCTCCCTCGGCAACACATACACAAACATTCACAGGCTGGAATTCACTGCTCACTTACCCCACTCTTCCCAAGTGGTACTATATCTCCTACTACTGCTTCTCTCAATTACTGCTCCTTGCAAGTCCTACTACTGGAGAACAGTATCTCTATCTGCTTTATGTTTATTTCTACACAGTCATCACCAATAGTCTCTCCACACAGTTTTTTATAGCCAACATTGCTGTGGTGGCTGGGGAGAGGGCCTAAAGAGACAGGTCAACAGCTGCACAGGTACTGTCCATCTTCTAGGCAGCCTCCCAGAAGCAAAATAGTTTACATACGATTTCTCCAAAAGGCAAAGATGGAACCAAAAGAAGATGGTAGCTGGGGCAAATGGTTTTTATGGCACACATCTCACTGCCAGAAAAGAAGTAGACACTGAAAGGTATAAATTTTTATTTAAGGTAGTATCCAGTTAAAAGAAATAACTTCTATTGTGAAGTATATATTAGATTTAAGCAGTTAATGTTTCTGTTTTTCATTGAGATTCAGCCCCATTCCTGCTATTTTAGCAGTTATTTAGATTTAAAAGATCTATGAAATGCAGCGATTAAAAAAACTATCACTTTTTGGGGGGAAGTTTCATCTATTTTCTGTCCATCAGAAGAAAAAGAAAAGGTTTCAAAATGGTGCCAGATTCCATATCTAGACTGGAGCTGATTTGCCTACCAAAGTCAGCTATGGATTAGATAGAAGATGTTGAAAATGAAAATTCAGCTCATTTTCCCATTCTGATTATCTCCCAGTTGTACTAAGCTATAATTTATACCCCAACAGTATAAACTTGAAATATCTTGGAATTTACATATTTAAAGTTAAGCATCGAACAAAAATCTAGTATCAATTAAATAATCCTGCTGTGGAGATGATCTAAGAGCACCAGGCCTGATGGTCAGTTAAAAAAAGGGAAAAAAATCTCATGGATAGGGTTTTTTATGGTGAAACGTAACAGTACAATAGCCTAAATCAGGGGTGTCAAACTCAATTTTATTGAGGGCCGCATCAGCATTGCGGTTGCCCTCGGGGGTGGGGGCTGGTTGGGTGTGGCCAGGGTGGGTGCAGCCTACTGGGTGGGCGTGGATGGAGTGGGTGTGGCCTACTGGGTAGGCATGGCCAGCTCTACATTGTTCGCGTCAAGAGTGCCTGTGGGGGCCTGGGCAGGAGTGGGACAGATCTGAGGGTCTCTGGCAGAAGGGGGTGGGACCGGGGCAAGCGCCAAGACATGGTCCATTTCTTCATTCCTCACAAAGGGTGACACCCCCCCAGCATGCACCCAGAGGGCGGGGCTGGTCCCTTGCTGTTTCCAGATGGCCTTGTGGAGCTAAGACTGAATGCATTTCAGCATAGATGGCCACAAAATTGTACATTGGCTCCAGGCCAGCCTGGGCCAGGGCCAAGGCAGTGGGGGCCGTTCCCTCACTGTTTCCAGGATGGCTTTGCGGGCCACATGAAACCACTTTGCGGGCCGCATCCAGCCCCCGGGCCTTGTGTTTGACATGTCTGGCCT